GGCGTGTCCCGCTCCCGGGCCACAGGCGCAGGCCCAACCGCTGGCTCCCAGGACTATGGGGTGTGCAGCTTGTCTCTCTCCTGGGACGCAGGCACAGGCGCAGCCACTGGCGCCCGGGACCACAGGGCGGGCGGCTTGTCCCTCTCCCGGCCGTAGGTGCAGACGCAGCCGCTGGCACCTGGGACCACAGGGCGGGCGGATTGTCCCTCTCCTGGCCACAGGTGGTGGGTCCCCATTCCTCTCTCTTCAGTGTTGAGTGTCTGAGCCATGATGGCGTGAGGGCATGATAACCATTTGCATATTAGCTCTTTATTATATAGGATAGGATTTTTGGAGAAGAAAAGGATCTGAAAACAGGTAAAAGGAAGGCTTTCATGGCAGATTAAACTCATCTTTCTGTAATTCTATCAAAGGACTCTTGACATTTAGGATATTTCTTTACGAAGTAGAGTAGTAGTTTATGTTTTCTGGAACTGATGTCACGGACTGCCCTTTGGGCCCTCTTGTCCAGAGGCCCTGTTCTCTGTACCTGTGGCAGAGGTGGTCAAACAGTGTCTCCCTGTGATAGTGTTTAGTGTGCAGTGACAGCACCACAAACTACCCCGACACTGTGCTGAGGTTGTAGACTTGGGTTGACTTTTACAGTAGCGCCCACACAGTAATTATAGTAATACTAGGGGCCCGGTGCACGAATTTGTGCACGGTTGTGGTCCCTAGGCCTGGCTGGCAATCGGCCAATCAGGGCTAGGCGGATCTGGGCCTGCTTCCCAAGGGGAGGGATGGGGTGTGAGAGGTTGGCCACCGGCCCTGAGGAGGGAGCCGCCCGCTGCCTCCCCCCCCCGCAACCAAAGGGGCCACATCCACCGCCACCCGCCCCCGATTCCCCTTCCCAGCCTGGGACCAAAGGGAGTGAGACGTGAGCAACAGCAGCATGCCTGTGGCTGGGGTGGACCAAAGGAAGGCAGAGGGAAGGTGGGGTTTTGAAGGCTTTGATCTAGGTCTCTGGAACACGGGACAGTGCTGAGCCCCATGGGAAAGCGATCCTGTAGAAAGGGCTCCATTTGAAATGCTTGTTGGGATGGTCCAGGTACCCACGCACATTCCTCTGGACAGCAAGGCTGTGGGGAGGGCCTGGGGCATTTGCTGACATGCCACGCTTCTGCTTCAGGCTGTTCTTAGAATATAAATCAGAGTGCCCCGCGGCCAGTGTCCTCCTAGGCCATTTTCCAGGCGTCAGGGCAGGGTGTTTAAAGAGGCCTTATGTAAACGGCAGCCTGCAGTGAGAACATCCGCCTGCGTGACAGTCAGTCAAATCCCTGTGCTTCCCTCTTAGGTTCACTTCCCAGACACGGAAAGAGCAGAATGGCTAAATAAGGTAAGAGCAGCGTCCATTCCCGCTCAGTGGGGCTGGGGTGGGACGCACCCTCCATATTTGGGAGCTGGGAGAGTGACACTGTGTGAACTCCTTTGGATTTGGCTTCTGCTCCCAAAAGAGCTCAGTAATAAATGGGACGTTACTTTCCTTTTCTAAACAGTGAAAACCGTCTTAGACGTGAGAAAAGTAATAAGCTATTCATAGTCACATCTTGGTCTTCTGTCTTCTTTCCCCATCGTCCATCCACTGCTCAGGTCTATTTTATGATAGTCGTACACAAAAATGTTGGAAACATTATTATGAAGAATGAATAACTCCCAAGAATTCTAGTAATAGATAATTATCTCATTTTTTTATAAAGCTTCTGTTTTTAGGTCAGTCTAGTTTGTAGTCAATCTCTGTCCCCTCACATTTTTTTAAAATATATTTTTATTTATTTTAGAGAGGAAGGGAGAGGAAGAGAGAGATAGAAACATCAGTGATGAGAGGGAACTATTGATTGGCTGCCTCCTGCAGGTTGGACTGAGCTGCAACCCAGTCATGTGCCCCCAACCAGCATTGAACCCGAGACCCTGTGGTCCACAGGTCAACGCTCTATCTACTGAGCCACGCCGGCTAGGGCACCCCTCACACTTTACGTAATATCCTCAGAGCTGTGCAGGCAGGGATCACCTTGTGGCGTGGGAAGGTAGTCCATCACTGAGGAAAACTCATTCATGTTTATTAAAGTCTCTACAGTTTTAGCAGTTTATTTAGCAATGAGTTGAAACCACAGGATTTTCTGATTTTTTTTAGCAATCATTAAATGTGCTGAGAATAACTAATTCCTGCAATATATGGTTAATTAGTAGTTTATTGTTGTGAAACATTTTAAAATTTAAAATTTTATTGATTTTTGCATAATAAAAAGGCCCTCCCTTTAATTTTTAGAAATTCTGATAAGCTGAAGGGGCATAATTTTTACCATGACTTAAGTGCAATGTTTATTAAAATGTCTTGTCTTACATGAGTTCTTTTTCCTTTCAGACTGTAAAACATATGTGGCCTTTCATTTGCCAATTTATAGAGAAGTTGTTTCGAGAAACCATAGAGCCAGCTGTGCGGGGAGCAAACACCCACCTTAGCACCTTTAGTTTCACGAGAGTCGACGTGGGTCAGCAGGTTTGTTTCTTCTTAAGTACCCTTACGTGTGCACAGCCAGATTGCTGTGGAAGCTACAAAGGCACGTTAAACTACTCCCTGTCATTTCCCTGGAGGGTCGGGGCGGGTGTGCAGCTACTCCAGGTTCTGCCTCTGATGTGGTGACCTCGCCTGGTCTGTCAGGGGTCCTCACCTGCCCTCACCTGTCCAAGGAGGCCTTTTGGCCAGTTCAGGTTCCCTGGGGGGACTTCCTTTAGTTCCAGCGTGTCTTTCTCCCCACACTCTTCTGTCAGAATTACCTTTGCACAGTTTTCAACAATCCGTTCTGTTGGAAAGGAGTTTGACATGTGAACTCACACTGAAGGTTCAGAAGTTGACAACAGGCATGAGGTATTTGCCCTCAAGTTGTTTAAAACAAGTAAAGACTCCAGTGCCAGACTTGTAGGCATCACCTTAGTCACACAGGTGAAGGGATAGATAGGTGTTGTTACTGGAATAATAACACTATATTGCTCTTTGCTGTATTGCACTTTGCAGATAGTGTGAGTTTTTTTACAAATTGAAGGTTTGTGTCAACCCTAAGTCAAGCAAGTCCATCGGCACCAATGACAGCATGTTCTTAAGCAAAAAGTATTATTGAATTGAGGTATATACATTCTTTTGTTTTGTTAATCCTCACCTGAGGATATTTTTTCCATTGTTTTTCAGAGACAGTGGAGGGGGGCTGGTGAGAAACTTCTATATGAGAGAGACACATATAGAACTCCTGAACTCGCCCCGACAGGGGCGGGGAGTGAACCCACAATCCAGGTACGTGGTCTGGACAGGTATTCGAACCTGCGACCACATTCCTCGTATCTGTGGTTTCACGGTAACCTTGTCCGCATTTGAGGAACAGGTGAAATAACTCGCTGATAGCGAGCCGATTTGGTACACCACGAGGGCAGAGTTGTGATTCCCGTAGCCTGTGCCAGAGTGTGTCTCCTCATCTCGGTGCCTCCTGGTTGTTTTGCCATTTGGTTGTTGTGTTGTTTGTGTTTTTACCGTCCCTGCATTGAAAATAAGCCACTTCTCGCTCCAGCCCCTCAGGATCAATGGTGTCAAGGCATACACTGAAAATGTGGACAAAAGACAAATTATTTTGGACCTTCAGATTAGGTAAGTTTTCATTTGTGTCCTAATTGTGTCCTAGTTAATGGCGTACAGTGTCACGTAGCTATTCCCGTAGGTGGATATACCTGATGTCGGTGGGTTTGACTGAAATCTTGATGAAGACCCAGATGTTGTGCTCAGGCGCTTAGACACTGTGCACTGCTCAGCGGGCCTCCGGCAGACGCTCTCAGGCAGGGCGAGACCTCCTGCATCTGGAGCCCAGGGTTGGGGGTCAATTCATACAGATTCCACCCAAAAGGTAGCTGCCATTTCATGGTTGTTTTAAAAACAAATGCAAGCCCTGGACAGTGTGTTCCGTGGTTAAAGCATTGGCCTGCGCTGGAAGGGTCACAGGTTCGATTCCCAGTCAAGGGCATGTACCTGGGTTGCAGATTTGATCCCCAGCCCTGGTCAGGGCATGTGTGGGAGGCAACCAATCAATTTGTCTTTTTCACATCCATGTTTCTCTCTCTCCCTCCCTTCCACTCTCTTTAAAAGCCAGTGGGAAAAATAGCCTCAGGTGAGGACTAAGAAAACACAGCAACAACAAAAAACACAGATGCAAGTCTTACATTCCACATCACACTCACTCATGTTCTTCATATTAATGATTGAAATGTCTTTTTTTTTTAAGTATTTTTTTTATTTCAGAGAGGAAGGGAGAGAAAAAGAGAGATAGATACATCAATGATGAGAGAGAAACATTGATTGGCTGCCTCCTGCATGCCCCTCACTGGGGATCCAGCCTGCAACCTGGACATGTGCTCTGACCAGAAATCGAACCCATGATCTGGAGGTTCATAGGTCAACACTTAACCAGTGAGCCAAGCTGTCCAGGCTGAAATGTCTTAATCAGTGAGAAAAATTATGCCTTAAACAGATACGGTTTTATACGTTTCTAATCTTTTTATCCTCACCCGAGGATATTTTCCATTGATTTTTTAGGGAGAGTGGAATGGAGAGGGAAAGACAGGGAGAAACATTGATGTGTTTAGAGAAACACATCAATTGGTTGCCTCCTGCACGAGCCCCAACTAAGGTCCAGGCTGGGGAGGAGCCTGCAACCAAGGTACATGCCCTTGACTGGAATTGAACCCGGGACCCTTTGGTCTGCAGGCCGACGCTCTGTCCACTGAGCCAAACCGGCTAGGGCTACGTTTCTTATCTTCACGTCAAAGTCCATGGGCTCTGTTAGTTCTCTCGGGACTGGGGAGCAGATAATCTTTACTTTATTGTTTTAAACAAACATAGGTGTTTATAAAGCAAATGAAAACTACATTTCATCAAGGTGCTGCTCTGGCCTGCACGTTGGAAGGGGTATTTGTAGCAAACCCTTGGTCTGCAGGAGGCCTCGCAGGAGGTGTGTCTGCTGCCTGGCAGGGAAGCGGCCCGCCACAGGGCAGCTGTGCCTGCAGCCTGTGCTGATCACTGTACTGTTTATTATTTTAGTCAGATTATATGCCTTGCAGGTCTGTGGTGATGAGGAGAATGTAATACAGAACTTTTTCTTTGCTAGTTTTGTAGGAAATTGTGAGATTGATTTGGAGATCAAGCGATATTTTTGTAGAGCCGGTGTGCAAAGTATACAGGTAAGGTTTTTTTTATTTCAGTCCTCTAAAATTTTCCATGCTCTCTTTGAATAGAAAGTGGCGAAGCTTTTACTAACCGAGAATTTCTTTGAAGTTAAGTATTTTTCTGCAGGTCCTACCTGGTGCAGCATTGGGCCACCTGCGTCTCCATCCTGCATCAGTGACTGGCTGTTACATGTCTTGGTTTCCGTTTGCACTTAGATTCATGGCACAATGCGAGTGATCCTGGAACCGCTGATTGGAGACATGCCCTTAGTGGGAGCCTTGTCTATCTTCTTCCTGAGGAAGCCAGTAAGTTGATGTTTATTTTGTGTCTGTCTTCCTTCTCACTGACAAGCACATGACCATATTGGAGATATACACAGTGAAGGAGCAGTCCTCTCCTTAGCTCACTTCTTCCCTCTGATGCGTGAGTCCTGTCAGTTCCTACTACTTTATGCCCTAGTGGAGGTTTCGTCTCTTCCCATAGACAACTTCTTTTCCTGACTATAAAAAGAATATGTTTGTTACAAAAATTTGAAAATAATAGACTGTTTTTTTTAGTGTGGGTTTGTGATTAACATTGTCAGTGAGTATGGTTTGTAAGTGTTTGCTCATTGACGCCTTATTCTCTATGGTGAATACCACATAGTTTCCATTTCGGACCAGGAATTAAGTCTAATCTTTCCCAGACCCCAAACCAGTAAGTCCGGGAGCCTGCGCCCAGCCCAGCCTGCTGACGGGCTGCTCTCACCGTCCTCTCTGCTGCCACAGGCAGAGCTGCCGTCACGCTTGGCACTGCCTGGCCCAGAGCTTGCTTATGAACTGCAGTTAGTGCATGAGGGGTTCAAGTCATAGAGTCTACTTTTTTTTTTATAAGAATTGTCTCAGGTGTTTTGTTTTATTTTTAATATATTTTTTGATTTAGTATTGATTTCAGAGAGGAGGAGAGAGGGAGAGAGAGTTGGAAACATCAATGATGAGAGAGAAGCATTGATCGGCTGCCTCCTGTACATCCCCCACTGGGGACCAAGCCTGCAACCCAGGCATGTGCCCTTGACCAGAATTGAACCCGGGATCCTTCAATCTGCAGGCCAGTGCTCTATCCACTGAGCCAAACCAGCTTCAGGCATAAAGATTCTTTTTACTGAATTATATTCTAACACTTGGATAAACCATAATAAATGTTATCACTTCACATGGTTAGATTTGTATCTTAATCCATTTTTTTGTTATAAGTAGTTAATACCTATTATTAGCCACAAAAATAAGACAACAAAAATATCATTCCTATCTAGGTTCCTCCTCACCTCAGCTCCTCCTCCTCCTCATGGGGCTCCTCCCTTCACTGAGTCTCCTCCCCTTCACTGAAGCTCCTCCTTTAACTGAGGCTCCTCCTTTCACTGAGGCTCCTCCCCTCCTGGAAGCTCCTCCCCTTCACTGAGACTCCTCCTTTCACTGAGGCTCCTCCCCTTACTGAGGCTCCTCCTTTCACTGAGGCTCCTCCCCTCACAGAGTCTCCTCCCCTCACAGAGGCTCCTCCCCTTCACTGAGGCTCCTCCTTTCACTGAGGCTCCTCCCCTTCACTGAGGCTCCTCCTTTCACTGAGGCTCTTCCCCTTCACTGAGGCTTCTTCCCGTCACAGAAGCTCCTCCCCTAATGGAGGCTCCTCCCCTTCAGTGTGCATCCTCCCTCTCCTGGTGACTCCTCACCTACATGGCTCCTCCACATGGGTCCACAGCCTCCGAAAGGCATTCGACTTAGCTCTGTCCTCAGTAGGCTTTGCTCACCACTAGGGCTTCTTCCCAAGGTGCAAACTGACCATAGAGAGTAGTGTCTCGGCAGACAGTTATTGTGGTCTAGGTGGGGGTCTCTGTCCTCCTTTCCTGGCACTGCCCCATGAGGATCCACGTCCCAACCACAGAAGCACTGTAATGGGGGAGAGTACAACCCCTTCACCCCTCACCACCTCCCTCACCTGTCCTTCTCCAGAACGCTGCCCTCTGCCCTGGGCTGTCCCTTTCTAGTACAGAGGTGGTCAGTGTCCTCCTCACGCCCACACAGTCCTGTGCAGGTAGTGCACTGCTTGTGAAGTGTTGGAAGGCACAGCCATGTCTGTCTCCACACAGCTCAGTAAGCATCTGATGGATGAATTGATCTGTTTCTCAAATAGCTCTTCACAAATGCCGTTCTGTTACCTTAGATGAGCTCTTTCGCAGGCACCATTGCTATCATGTATTGTTTAAAATGGGAATCTTTATTGTATAATTTGATGCAAATAACTTAATACAAATTGTTGTTGGGTTTATCTAGACAAATTATAAGTGGTACTTTTTTTGTATAAAAACACAAGAAGAATTAAGTATCTTCACTTTCTATTTCCACTAACATTATTATTCTCACTTGCCTTCTATTGCTTAAATAATGGGCTTATTTTGAATGTATTGTAATGACTATAGTCCCCCCTTATCCACAGATTTACTCTCTGTGGTTTCAATTACCTGTGGTCCACCTTGGTCTGAAAATAATTAAATGGAAAATTCCAGAAATAAACAAGTCATAAGTTTTAAATTGCATGCCATTCTGAGCAGCGTGATAAAATCTCATGCTGGCCTGCTTCGTCCCACCTGGGACATGAGTCATCTTTTGTCCAGGTCTCCAGGCTGCACAGCTCCCCACCCGTCAGTCGCCTGGTAACCGTCTCAGTGATCAGATCAGCTGTCATAATGCCTGTATTCAAGTAATTATTGTTGTTAACCTCTTACTGTGCCTAATTTATAAATTAAACTGTATCATAGGTATGTATTTTTTAATCATCACCTGAAGGCATTCTTAGAGGAAGGGAGAGAGAGAAAAAAAATTGATGTGAGAGAGAAACATTGATTTGTTGCCTCCTCGACTGGGAATTGAGCCCACAGTCCAGGTACGTGCCCTTACCAGAAATAGAACCTGCAACCTGTATTTACATACAGGAAGAAAACATAGTATATACAGGGTTCAGAACTGGCAACCTTTCGGCGCACGGTACAATGCACCAACCAGCTGAGCCACCCGGCCGAGAAAACATAGTGTATATACAGGGGTCAGTGGTAGTCATACTTTTAGGCATCCACTGGGGGTCTTGGAATGTAGCCTCCTCAGATTAGGGGGAATATACACAGAACATGGTGAAATTCAAAAGCTACTAAGGAACTTTTGTGTTAAATTTTAACTTATTAAAATTTTGAGAAATGAAATCCATAAAAGATTTTATATCCATGCTTTTTTCGCATACAAATTGTATAAAAGCCAGTGTATTTAAGAAACTTTCATTAATAAGTATAAAATAAAACACCTAATCTTTAGCAAATTGCTGAGTATTTTTAATTTTCAAGGAATTTTTAACAATTTAATGACGGGCTCCCTTTTTTTTTAATTTCAGAATCCAAATCTTTAAATCTCCCTCAAAACTTAGTAATACTCTTCCTTAGTGTGGATATTCTAGGTGTATTTACCTTAAAAATAACATCATAGTATTAACTTCCAAGCGAAATTCTAATGCTGAGAGAAGGAAGAGGCTGTGAAAAGTCAAGTTACTCATTTATAATAATAAAAGCATAATAGACCAGACAGCCGAACAACCTTCTGGATGTCCTGGACGAAGCCACCATAGCGGGGGCTGAGGCAGAGATGGTTAGGAGCAATCAGGCAGGCAGATGAGCAGTTAAGGGCAATCAGGCAGGCAGGTGAGCAGTTAGGGGCAGTCAGGCAGGCAGGCAGAGTGGTTAGGGGAGATCAGGCAGGCAAGCAGTTAGGGGCGATCAGGCAGGCAGGCAAGAGGTTAGGACATGTAATACTTGTATATTGTATACTAATAAAGGGGCAATATGCTAATTAGACCGATAGACCAGATGTCTTCCAGACATCTTCCGGATGTCCTTCCGGACAAAGCCACAGTGGCGGGGGTTGAGGCACAAGTGGTTAGGGGTGACCAGGCAGGCAGGGCCAGTGGTTAGGGGTAATCAGGCAGCCAGCGGTCCTGGATTGGGAGAGGGATGTCTAACTGCTGGTTTAGGCCCAATCCCGAAGGGGTCCCGTATTGCGAGAGGGTGCAGGCCGTGCTGAGGGACACACACCCCCTGCATGAATTTCGTGCACAGGGCCTCTAGTTTCCTTATATGGTGAGTAAAGTCACCACACATGCTTTGGAGAGAGGGAGTGTATTTTCAGTTACTTTCAGCTGGAAAATGGCCCAGGCCAGCAACAGAATTCACTGCCTGCTGCCAAGTAATTCTTCTCACCAGGGGCAGTCCAGCCGGAGAGATTTGGGTTTCTGATTATCGAGATGATTTAGACTCGCAGTGTCAGAGAACCTTACGACGCCTTTGCACGTCTTCCTGCTTGTTGGTTTCTTTGGACTAGTTTGGATAATGTGTTGCTTGTTCCCGAAAACCAAACAAAACCATGAGGTGCGGAGCTGTGGAGCACAGCTGTCTTATGGTGCAGCCAGCGCGGCCTTAATTCAACCTGGTTTTCCTCTCCTGGTTCTTTCTTTTCCCACTGTGTGCTTTGAACAACTGACTTCATTCCTCTAAGCCTCAGTTTCCCCATTTGTAACAGGGGATTACAGTAATACTTGTCACAGGGTTACATGTGAAGATTAAATGAATGTCAGTGGATGTACAACATGTAATACAGTGCCTGGCACATAGAAGTTCTTGGATTTTTAAGAAATTACACACATTCCTACATGTAGGTTTAGCATTCTGGTGGGGTCCTGACATCAGAGATCAAGTACTGGTAAGCACACGCGCTTGGGTGAAGGTTCTGGTAGGAGCCAGAACAAGCCAGTGTCTACCCCTTCGCGGATCCGTGGACCTGGTGGCCTCTCCCTCCTGCCATCAGGACCGTTGTTGGCATGGCCCCGGCACGCTCGCAGGGTGTTAGAATCCTCAGGTCTGTGGCCCTGTCTCAGGAGGACTGATCAGACTAGAGTGAGTCCGGAACGTGTCCAGGAGACGGTTCGTGTGCTCGGAGTGTGTTGACCCTCAGGGGGCTCCCAGCCAGCAGAGGGTGGGCCTCCCGTGTTTGAACCAGAGGCTCCTTTCTTCATCTGCAAGATGAAAGGGACATCATTCTTTCAGAGTGAGCTGGAGAAGAAGTTGAGTCCCATTAGCTGGGACTCCAGCAGTTGAGGTGCCTTAAGCAAAAGAGGGGCTTTATTTCACAAGGTAGCCTATACTGGGTCTCAGGGAGCTCTGCAGGGGCTGCAGGTGAGGGAGCCGTATGACGTCTCCCCACCCATGTTCCACCTTCGCTCTGCCCTCTCCCGCTGAGGCCAGCGGCCTCTGGTCTCCAGTCCACATGCCACAGTCATGGCTGCCAGCGCCCTCAGTTCGTTCCCAGCGCCCTCCTCCCCCTCATCCTCCTGCCATATGAGCTAGAGTAGAAAGAACAGGGAGAGGGGCTTCTCTGCTGAGCAGGTCAGACACGGGCCCTAGACCGATGGGAGTGGGAAGGTGGCAATTGGAAGCCAACCCTACAACCCTGGGGAGGAGGCAGCAGTGAGGTGGAGGGCAGGCCAGGCAGAGCCACGGGAATCCCCAGGCCAAGAGGGTCCTACCCCCCCCCCACCACACACACACACACTAGGTCCTGGGAGCATTGGCGGTGTGGGTCTGCCAGGGCCTGAGCGTCTCGGTCTGTGGTGCTGACAGCTCTCACGATGTGGACAGTCTGGCCCCATCCAGTGGCGGGTGGGAGCTCCACATTGTCCTGCCTGTGTTGGCTCTCAGGCTGGTGTCTCTCAGCGACTCTTCCCTCCTCATGCCGTGTCTGTGGGGGGGCATGTGCAGGTGGGTTTGCACATGTTGGTCCAGCAACACGGGACCTCTGGCGGGCAAAATTGATTGTCATGATGGTTGCACAATTCTGTAAATGTACTAAAAACTACTGAATTGTACACTTCAAATGGGTACACCTGATGGTATGTGAAGTAGATCTCAATAAAGATGGGTACACATAAAAAGTGAAATCAAAATTCTATCAAAAACATTATTACCTGTGTCCCTCCCCTGTGGCTTCTGCTTCTTACAGTGGAAAGTGGGTGCTGTCTTTCCAGCAGCGGCTGCTCCCGCCCCGCCTTACCCCTGCAGCGAGTGTCACCCGGGCCCCCAGCTCTGCAGCCAGCACACTCTGTCGCTCCGAGTGCTGGCACATGCCCTGTGTCTGGGTCTCAGAGGGTTACACTGTCTTACCCACACTTTGCCTTTAGCAGTTAAGATCTAACTGGAATAGTTCACCTCAAGCTGCCTGTGAGGAAGGGTTTCAGGCTGGCTGGCACCTGCCACCTCAGCTCCTGTACATTGAAGAGTGATGCTCTTTCTGGTTTTCTGTATCCCAGATGGAAGCTGCAAGTCCTGGGAGCTTTAAAACATAAGGAAAATATTCTTGACCTTTACCACTAGCCAAAACCCACTAATTCAGAAACACAGGAGAAGGGCGGGAGCCACAGTCTGTATTTTTAAGGGACTTCCCAGGTGATTCATAGTCTGTACCGCAGAAATAATTCACGTAGGACGCCTGGTGTACAGTAAGTGCTGAAATAAACAGTTGCTATTGTCGAACTGCGTCCATAGGTTCAGGAGATGGGAGAGCAGAGGGCCGGCGTGTCTGTTCATGAAGCTCGCACATGGCCGTCCTGTTGCAGGTGAAGCGTGGCCGCTCACTGCTTGTTCTGTGTCTCGAGGAAGGGCCGCAGCAGCCCTTGGCGGTTTCCTCCCTTGGAAACAGACTCCCTGGCTCTTCAGTTTCCCGAAACAGCTCTGAGTCATCCAGGCTCGGGGGCGAGGCACTAATTTTAGTTGCCTGCCCCTCCTTGTGGGTTCCTCCTGTGTCCCTGTGTGGACTCTCCAGCCTCAGCTCTCAGACCTCTCACACTGGATCCCACACGCACTCACACTCATTCTCGCTCCCTCACACTTGCCCTTACACACTCACTCCTCACTCACTGCTTCCTCTTTTGTCCTCTCTGGGCCCTCCTGTCCCCAGTTCCCCCTTGCTCAGGGGCACGTCAGCTCCCTCTTCAGGGCCTTGGACAGGGCCTTCTGTCTGCACGCAAACCTCTCTTCTCAAACCCGCTGAGTCCTGTTCCTCCACGAATCCTGCACTGCCCTCTGGCGTTCTGTTTTTCTGAACTCGGAAGCGTTTACACAGGCGCATCTCATCCTTTTGACAAGGGTCATGGGGTTCGGCCCTGTGTGGCCTGAGGAGTTAATCTCTCGGTACCGTCCTGCCAGGTGACCTGCCCTTGGCAGGGCCTCTCGTTAGCCGTCAGCTGTTAGCCGAGGAGGGTTTCCTAGCTTCCTGGTTCTCCGTGGTGCCCTGGGCCTGGAACGGCTGTTCCTCAAATCCCTGGTCCTCTTGGTGGGAAAGGTCTGTGGTGATGATGAGGGTGGGGCAGGGTGCTTCCTCTTGCGTGGTTTTGCTTCTGGGCCTCCGGTGGGGGCGAGGGGAGCATGATCTTTACTGCTATTAGCCTTGCAAGTTTACATCTTGTGTCTCTTCTGCTGAAAAATCTCAGTCTTTCAGGACTTTTAAAACTAGTTGCTTTTTAGTTTGGTCTTTTCAAGAGAACCTGGACTCCTCTAGTTCATGCTTATTTAAAACCACTTCCCAAAGGGATTGGAGCCAGAATGCAATACTCCAGCTATATGGGTAATGAGATCATGCAATTTCACTCAGCTTTCCCCCACAAATATAAAACACTAGTAAGTGCAGTATCCATTTTGATAGGAAAAGCTGTGTTTCTAATCAATAGTTTTTACCCATCCGCGTCCACCTAATGCAGTGATTCCCAGAATGGGCGCTACCACCCCCTGGTGGGCGCTGCAGCGATCCAGGGGGGCGGTGATGGCCACAGGTGCATTTGTTTTAACTTTTTTTGTATTACCTTTCTATTCTGAGTTCAAAAAATAGTTTCATAATTTCAAACTTCAGTGTCTCTAATTTACACCTTTCTTTACTATATTTTACGAAAAAGGTAGAAACATTAATACATATATCTTTCTGTTTAATTGCTATTAAAATTTTAAAAAAATTAATTTCCAGGGGGCACTGAGTAATATTTTTTCTGGAAAGGGGGCGGTAGGCCAAATAAGTTTGGGAACCACTGACCTAATGGAATCATAGCCAACTGTGTAGGAATTATTATAAGATAAATTCCACTAGAAAAATGAGCAAAAACCCCCCAAATGTTGAATGAATGGAACATGCTCCACTAATATCAGGAAAATGCAATTTGAAACAGTGATAAAGTACCATTTTTTAACGGCCAAATGGATTGATTCTTTTTTAAAAAAATATATTTTATTGATTTTTTTTTTTACAGAGAAGAAGGGAGAGGGATAGAGAGTTAGAAACATCGATGAGAGAGAAACATCGATCAGCTGCCTCCTGCACACCCCCTACCCACAACCAAGGTACATGCCCTTGAGCAGAATTGAACCTGGGACCCTTCAGTCCGCAAGCTGATACTCTATTCACTGAGCCAAACTGGTTAGGGCTGGATTGATTCTTAATATCTCTTTTTGTTGAGGTTATGAAGAAGAAACATTTTCATACACTTCTGGTGGGAATATAAGTAGGGATAGCCTTTCTTTATGGTAATTAGGTGGCACTATCAAATAACAAAGTGAATATGTATCTTTGACCAGGACATCTACTTTTTTAAAAAATATATTTTATTGATTTTTTACAGAAAGGAAGGGAGAGGGATAGAGAGTTAGAGACATCGATGAGAGAAACATCGATCAGCTGCCTCCTGCACACTCCCTACTGGGTATGTGCCCCCAACCAGGGTACATGCCCTTGACGGGAATCGAACCTGGGACCCTTGAGTCCGCAATCCGACGCTCTATCCACTGAACCAAACCAGTTAGGGCTGGATGTCTACTTTTTAAATGCCAGTTTGCATGCACAAATCAGAACATGATGTAAAAATATATTCACTGAATATCCTAAGTGCCCATCCATAGGAGGGTAGATGTATAAATTATATGATTTTACTGGAGAAAACTATGACATCAAAAAATAAAACAACAGGCAGCTCTCCATGTACCCACAGGGCACAATGGCCTTGATGGTTCACAAAGTGAAAAGCAAGGTGCAGAACAGTGTAATGAAACAAATCTCTGCCCTCACTGGTTTGGCTCAGTGGATAGAATGTTGGCCTGGGGACTGAAGGTTCTGGGTTCGATTCCAGTCAAGGGCATATGCCTGAGTTGTGGGCTCGATCCCCAATGGGGGCGTGCTGGAGGCAGCCGATTATGATTCTCATCATTGATGTTTCAATCTCTCCCTCTCCCTTCGCTGAAATCAATAAAAATATATTTTTTAAAAAGAAAGAAATCTCTGTGATTTGGTTTGATTTGGTAATTGGAAATAACTTAGATAACATCTTTTGCCCTGCTTTTAAACAGCTTTTAGAAATCAACTGGACAGGACTGACTAACCTTCTGGATATCCCGGGACTGAAGTAAGTACGATGCCATGTGCTGTGTTAGTTTGCTGATGTCGAGACATGCCTCTGGGCTCAAATGCGCTGATGCAGAGGGTCATAGGACTTCAGACTACAACACTCACCCTTCCGTTCACCTTTTGTTCATCACAAAGCTGCTTTTCAGTATAAGTGTTTCAGAGTAGTGGCAGCCTTCTAATATCCCACAAATTAATTTTTAAATTTGGTTTTTCTTTTCCCAGAAAAATAAAGACAACTTAAAAAGCAAATGAATGTTTCAAAACTAGCCCTTTCTGAGTTCTTTCAAGCTGTGGCCACGCCTCCTTGGGGTTGGATGTCAGTCCTGGGCCTGGGAGCCAAGGGGGAGGGAAAGCCTACGTTCCTGCACCATCCCTGGGAGGCCCTCCACTCACTGGTAGCCATGCAGGGTCTTAGCAGGAGACTTGCCACATGAGCACGGAGTCCGTCAGCCTCACGTCCCTCCTGGGAGAGGTTCTGCTTGGGCCACAGTCCATCCGTCTTACCTGGTGGGAGGTGACTGTCCATAGGACGTGGCCAGTGTGCAGCCCGACCTCAGCTGGGAACTGTGGCACCTACTGTGATCTCAGCCAGCCATCCTGTCTGTCCTGACAGATCTCTGCCAAGCTGGATGGGCTGCAATTAGAGCCTCCAAACCTGCTTCTGCTGGCTTTACTAAGGGGGCACCATCAGGAGGTTAAAGTGCCTTTCTGACATGTTAGAGTGGCCCCATGGTCCTCAGGTGAGCGCTCTCATCACTGCCCTGGACATCCACCTGCTGTGAGTGCTGCACTATTGCCCACTGAGTGGTGGTGGTGTTCCCGCTGCCCAGTGGTGCTCTTATAGGTACAGTTACTTTACGTCTGAGAAGTGGGATTCTCTTAGCACCTAGCAGGCCCAGAGGTGGCCTCTGTCGCAGGGACACTCACTTGTGTAGGTTGCAGAGGCATGCACGTGCACGTTACCTGATTCTCACATTTACCCCAAAGAGTAGGCAAGAAACATACTAAAAGTGTGTTTGTTTCTTTAGCCTCCACAATTTTATTCAAATCCCTGAGTTCTCTGTGCAGTGTATATAGTATTTCAAAATTATTACAGTATTGAACCTCCAAATGCAGTGTGAAAAACCTGTAAATTTCTTTACTGCCCTGGGAACTGTGCATCTACTTATATAAAAACCACGGCCAGAAGAGCGACCAATCGGAAGGAAGTCAGTCCTGCAGGGGTCGTCTTGGAAACGGCTTCACCCTCCCCCAGCTGTTTCCTGGAGGGCGAGGTTTCAGGCAGGGA